ATATATATAGTTAAAGGCACAAAGTTCCAGAGGCCATTTTTCCTCCTACTCCTCTTAACTCTCACCCCCCAGTCTCCAAACTGCTTCTCCTCTGGAGTCATCATCAGTCTCCCTTCTCTCCCACTGACCTGCTCCCAGGCATGGAGTAGATAACAATTCCCACACTCCACCTCCTGCAGCTCCTTGACAGCACTGGTTTCCTGCTTCCTAAGACGATCAATTTCAAGTGCACCCACGCAACTCACATTGGCACTTACAGGGTGCCCAGCAAAAGCCTTCAGGAGGACCAGGCGTTTCTGGTCTCATTGCCAGGAGAGGCGGACGAGATTTGCTGGTTGCTAAGGATGTCAAGCCCCATCTCAGTCGGCTCCCTTCCCGGTCACTTGGAGCCCATTTGTGCCCAAACCCCCAGTTCTTACCTTGGTGCGGATGAGGATGGGCAGAGGCAGCAGGACAATGGGCAGGAGCAGCACAAATAGGTAGGAGCGATAGGCCCACAGAGCCTGCCACCAGGTGGCCATGGTGTGGACCAGCTAGGCCTGTGGCACGGGGCACCTGAAGGGAGTCAGCGAGCAGATGCGGCTGTGAGTGGCCCAGGGCAGGTGAGAAGCTTATATAAAGCCAGCTAAGTGTTAACCATTGACCCACTCTGGCAATCAGAGTGGTTTTGGAGTCCAGGAGGTGAGAATAAAGAGGAGGGACCTGTAGGAAGAGTAAAGATCAGGAAGCCTTCGCAAAGGAAAGGAGGGGGAAAGAACCAGGAATGAAAAACTTCAGGTTCTTCTGAGAAGTTAAGCCCAGAGTTAACTCCTTCTGCTCGTGACTGCAAGAGGTTGGAAGAGAAAGGGCACCTCCTGGTAAGACCTCCAGGCTCTCTTCCCAGACCAGACACGCCCCTCTCCTTTTGTTTCCCAAGCCAACTTCCAATCTAAGCAGTTTATACAGGACCCCGCCTGAGATGGTCCCTCCCACACAGCCTCTCCTGCCTTCCAGGATTTTCCAGATTAAGATTGGCCAAACCCTTCCTTGTCTTTCCAGGTATTGAGGAAACTAGTACTAACCACCACTTACTTGCTGAGTGGGGAGGTTGAGTCTTTGGGAGAAAGGTGGGCAGTCTCCTCCTCAAAGATTCCTAGCCTTGGGAGCTGGATGGAGGGTTGATAGGTAGAAATGGACTTGACAGTAGGGCAGTGGCGTTTCTCTGGTGAGTTCTTCTCAGTCACTAACAATGTAATTCAGTGTGTGAAAGAACAATTTTGTTGTTAGCTTTGTATAACCTAAGATAATCTATTTAAGTGTTTCATAGGTATATTTATCACACAATCTGTGATTAAAATAGCGAATCAACATTTCCGGGGATTCTGTAAGGAGCTCTGGGGGTACACTGTTGGACTGCTAACCAAAAGGTCAACCACAGGGGAGAGAGGATGACACAGTGAGTTAATGCACCAAGTGACACCAACCGCAGTGACATCTCAGTGACTCCCCCATTCTGTCACAATATCTTCCTATTGTGAGACTCGAATTAAACAACTGATGACATACTCACCAGTGATGTATGGTAGGCACACAATACAGGCTTGTTTCTTTCAGCTTTACTTTCCTTCCCACACCGCAAACTACCACTGAGCACTAGCAAAGATGGTCTCATATTTTGTACCTCTGAGATTACAGTGCAGCTTCTTGCCACTAGGCCACCAGAGCTCCTTAAAGAGCTTACAAACTTTAAAAAAAACTTTTTAAATTTTATTATTTTTTGTGAGTGTACCATCAAATCGGATCTGACTGGTACAGGAGGAGATTGCCCCTCCTTCTCCAGGGAAGCATCTGGTGGATTTGAACACCTCGCCTCAGGGATTACAGTGCAGTTTCTTGCCACTAGGCCACCAGGGCTCCCTGGTCTCATATTTTGTAAATATGCTGTCTCTCCACTTATTCATCCATCCATCCATCCATCCATCCATCCATCCATCCATCCATCTGTCCATTTATCTGTCTATCTATCTACCCATCCACCAAGCCCTGTCTGAGGTCATTTGTGCATTTAACTCTGTGATCAAGGCTAAGGATCCATACTTGGCTAAAAGAAGAACATGCTGAGGCTGCTCGTAACAACTAATGTTTGCTCAGCATTTAATATAAGCTGGTTAGTGTCCTGTTTCATTTATTCTGTCCCGCTGTGCTGTGATATGATAGAGCACCTTTATAAAGCCTTCTCAGCCATGTTCTTACAATATTTGCCAAATGACTGGGTGGTTGTTGTGAACCATTGAGTAAGAACTGACTCATAGCTGACCCTCCAGAGGATTTTCGGAGGCTGTAAACCTCACGAGAGGAGATTGCCCATCTTTCTTCTGCAGAGCAGCTGGTGGATTCAAACCGCTTGCCTTTGGGTTGACAGTGCAGCTTCTTACCACTAGGCCACCAGCAGTCCTTAAATGATCGAGTGATGCTGTACAAATGTTTGTGGCCCACTTAGGGGACTGGAGGGCTTGCTGATAATGCAAACAAGATGCAGGGACCCTGTGGGGAGTGGGGTGGAAGGTACTTGTCTGTTGTCAGTCTGATTAGAGCTTTTGTCTCTTGGTATTCTACCCTCCTCACCCCACACTGGACACAGTAGGTGCACAAAGCACCATTCTGACCCTTGTCAGGGTGTGAGTTCTGACCCTTGTCAGAGTGTGACAAGTATAAGTGCCAAGATTAGAAAGCAGGGTGTCAGGGAAGATGTTTCTGGCAGTGAACCCAGCTCGGGCAAAGGTGGAGCTCAGTGGAATTTAGAGAACAGAAAGTTCTGTGGGGTTGGAACACAGGTTTGTGGAGAGGTAGTCTTGAGCACTGACAACTACATCTCTAGGGTGAACAATAGTGTGGCCTGGGCTATTCTGCTGGGCGGGAAAGTCCTGGAGGCAGTGGGGTCTGTGTTGGAGATATCACATTGCCTTTTGCACGAGTGAGCCAGAGACATGGTGGGTTCAAGGCTCAGGGCTCCAGGCCAGGCCAGACTGTGTATGCAAAGCTACAATAAGACAGGACAGAGTGGCCACCTCCTCCCCCATCCAGACCTTGGCCCCTCTGTTCCCAGAGTCAGTTTGCCACCGGCTCAGGGCTAGCTGAGGAAAAAAGTCCAGAAGCACAGGGATAGACAAAGGGTTTCAGACACTCAGGACAATACCCCAATTCCATCTCACTGTGAAGGCCTATCCTGTGGCCCGAGGCTTTGAGAACCTCAAAGCAAGCAGGTCTGGGCCTCACCAAAGAGGAACAACATCCAAGCGTATACCCTGAACCTCAGTTACTCTGTTAATCCTGGAATGAGGCTCAGAGAAGTGCTTTTACTTGTCCTAGGCTGCAAACCCTGTGAACACTTGAGAGTTTCTTTTCCAAGACTGCCTGTGCCCTTTGCCCAACCCTCCTCAACCCGGGCTCCTTCCATGGAGCTGGGACAAAAGTCAGCTTCCAAAGTAGATAGCTCTCCTGAGCCCTGCCCACCCCTGACTTGACATCTTCTTGGTCCTAGACTTGGCCCTCTGTTAGGAATCTTCACATACTAGACCCCAAGTGATCAGTAGACATCAAAGACAGTGTTCGGAGGCCAACGGGAAGCCTCCAGCAGGCCCAAGCACTATAATAACTTACTAGCAGAAATGTTGGAGGTCAGAACATGTCTATTGGTGCCTCAGGTGACAGGCTTGAGGATCTATTTTAAAACACTCATACCCTTGAATATCCTAAGGAGTAGTTGTTCTCTGCATAAAGGATGGCCAAGCAGGATCACCTCAACAGCCACCAACAATAACAGTGAGCTGGCAATTTCAGCCAGAATCCTACGCTGCTAATGAGACTCCAGGTTCAGGCCAGGTTTACTCAAGTCTCCAACCCAACTCTCCCTACCCCTTTGCCTTCAATAAGTATAGCCAGTATCTGTGTACTTGCTCATGGCTCCTAATGGACTGTGTAACTTGGGGCAGGGGCTGTGGCCATCCTCCTTCAGTCTCTGCAGGGACTTTCTTGAAGGAGATCCCTGCACTACCCGGGGAGGAGTCAGGAATAAAACTCACTTGCACTTTGACCATTGATTCTACTGGAGAAGGTCATCAAAGAATAGCTGAGAAAATCTCAGGGGCAAAGGAGATGGGACTGCTTTCCCTCAGAAGCAGGTAGCTGATAAGATAAAGATAGGGCCAAGGTTTGGGGATGGGGCTTGAGGGTGCCTCTTAAGACATTCAGAGCCCAGCACAGGGGATGGAATTCAGACAGCAAACCCCTGAGAGAGTCTGAAATTGAGCAGTTTGGGCCTGAGGGTTACCTGGGCACAAAACAAGTGGCCACTGGGAAGTAGAAATGACAGGACTTATTGCATAGCACTAGAAATAGTATGGAAACCCTGGAACCATTCAGCTAAGAAAAGATAGGGACAGAGAAGGTGTCCTCATATCCTTAATTGAAGAAGAGAACAGAGATATGATTTTTTTCTCTTTCTTAAAAATTTTTCCTTTTATTTTTTAAATTAATTTTAATGACCATTTACAGAGATTTTGAATTTCCATACATTCATTGTTGCATTTTTCTCCCTGCCCACCCCTCCCCCCAGTTTGCTCTTCTCTTTGAAAAGTAAAAGAAAAATTCTTTCATTGATATACAATCCCCCCCTCCTGCCCCAAGCACATTCCACTATGCAACCTTCATTCTGGACTCTTGTCATAACTATAATACCCAATCATGTATCACATTCAAACAGTTCACTCCCTCATCTGTTTCAATGCAGTATACATACTTTATCCCATCTTTCTCAGTCTCACTCCTAACTTGATGCCAGTCCCGTTCTATAATAGTGGCACCATGCTGCATCTGTCCTTTTGTGACTGAGGTATTTCACTCAGCATAATGTCCTCCAGGGTCACCCATTTTGAATAATATTGCATGAATTCCTTGTTTTTCAATGCAGTGTAGTATTCCATTGTGTGAATATACCACTGCTTCTCTATCCATTCGTTTGTTGATGGGCACTTAGGTTGTTTCCAATTATTTGCTGTTGTGAACAAAGCCACAATAAATATGGGTGTGCATATATCTGCCTGGGTAATAGATATGGGTTTTTTTTTTAGAGTATATTGCCAGTAATGGAATTGCTGGGTCAAATAGTATTTCTATTTGCAACTTTTTGAGAAAGCACCATACTGCCTTCCATAGCGGTTGCACCATTTTACACTCCCACCAACAGTGAATAAGGAAGGGTTCCAGTTTCTCCATAACCTCGCCAGCATTTGTTGTTTGCTGTTCTGTTGAATTGTTGAATTTTGCTATTCTTAGTGGTCTGAGATGATATCTCATAGTTGTTTTGTTTGCATCTCTCTCAGAGCTAGGGATTTTGAACATTTCTTGATGTATTTGTTGGCCATTTGAATGTCTTCTTTGGTGAAGTGTCTGTTCATATCCTGTGCCCATTTTTCAATTGGGTTATTTACCTTTATCTTGCTGTGGTGCTCATTATTTTATAAATGCTAGATATGTCCCTTTT